ATCTGCAATTTAACTTTCATGTTATAAAGTTTTATTTTTTTAACCTTTGAACTGTATATCCCATTTTAAAAACAAAACAAAACGATTGAAAGTACATATTTCCACCTCTGCTGTCAAAATAAACAATGAACTTCCTGCCAGCCTAAAGGAGCCATCCTTTCTCTCTCTTCGCTTAGTACTATTTTCTTAGCCCCACTAAGATACCATATTGCCTTTGAGAAAGTCTTTTGAACTTCAATCATAAAGAAAAGGATCACTAGCCAATCAGTCAGTAGCCAATCAGTGCCCCATTCTATGAAAACACTGTGCTGTGTGCTGTGGGGAATCTCACAGATCTAGTAGTCTTGTTAAACTGCCCAAATTGGGAAAGAGAAGTGGTGGTAGAAATGCCTTATTCATTGTGAATTTGATTGAACTTAATTAGCCTTTAAAATACAATTTTCAAGGGCCGGCCGAGTGGCTCAGTTGGTTAAGAGCTCGCTCAAGAGTTTGAGCTCTGAGCAACAACGGTTCAATGCCTGGCCCGAGCTGAGCTGCTGCTGAGCTGCCAACAGGTAGGATGGCTCAGCTAAAAAAACAAACAAACAAATACAATTTTCAATTTTAGAATGTATGTGCTTGGATAGAACACTAGAAACAGATACACATACAGTAAGATATAGGTGCCCTATACCTATATCTGTGCTGAAGTAGAGAAAGAGCCCTACATTGATAGGTGGAGTTAGAGAAGGCCATCAACTTGGCCTGAAGACTGAGGCTCACACCGCAGTTGCCATCTCCCTGGGGTAGGCTATGGAAGCTCTATGGTAGAGAAGGGAGGGAAGGCTTTGGAGTAGTTACTTATGGGTTTGACTCCAGACTAGGCCACTGGGTAGTTAATTGATCTTGGCCAAGTCATTTAACTTTAGTTTCCACACTAATCAAGTGGAGCCAATTATATCTATCTTGAGAACAAGGTGGAATATCTGTAGAGTTTCAGCTCATCAATAAATGGTAGTTCTACCAGTATTGCATTCATGGTCAGGCTTGGTCATCTAAGTTTTGTTCCCCATTGGTGACATTCTCACTGTTCATTGAAGCCTCAGTTTATAATCCAGTCTAAAATTATACAGTGAAAGAGAATCCAAAATTTTGAGATGCTCCTTGGAGTTGTCCAACAAGTTACTCAGTAATCATTTATTAAAACCCTTACAATATATTATGTATTGTCCTAGATACAGTGGCCATAAAGATGAATAGAACGTATTATCCTCCCAGGAACACACCTGTCTAAACAGGTCCCAGAAAAGATTGAAGTTTTAATTCTATAGGAAGATATTCTTTGGCCTGTTCATGGTTGCCCTGGCAGCAGGAGAGTACACTTACCTACCCATGCCATTGAGCTTGAGTAATCAAGAATCCCATCTGTTTTCCATCAGATTTTTATCAAAGAAATAAACAATGACATCAAAATGATGGAAATTCTAATTAATCCTGGCTTCGCAGCTCATGTTATTTGAGAAGGCAACAGGGCCCATATTTTTAACAAATCACCTGTTGCCTCTGGCCAGGGTAACCCCTGAGCCCGGTGGGAGGGATTAAGCAGATTTTCCATCACCAGTCATCACTAGTCAATTTTAAACTTACTTTCAGTCCTTTTTGTTTCCTTTTACCTCTCTGTAATTCTCATGGTATCAAAAAATACTACGTATTTGGTCTCAGTGCTACCTCCTGGGGGCTTGTTTTGTTTCAATCTTAGAAATACCTAGTTTCAGCTCTGTTACTTCCCATTGTTCCAACCCAACACCATTTGGGCTCCAATCCCTCTACATCAACCTACCTTTCTATCCCACATCTTTCAACAAAATCAGTCTCATTTACAGTTACATGAAGAGTTATTAGGCCTGAAATTTGGTCTTCTTCGTATAGAAGAGAGTTAAGATTACTGTATGTGTTTATCGCTATCATAAAGGGTCTTATTTACTTTTTTTCTTTTAACACTCTCAGAAAACCTTCTCTGTAGTTAGTAAGAGGAAGTAACTCTTGGGATGAAAGTGTGTTCATTCTTCAGTGAATGTTTAAAATGAGTACTCTATTTCTTTAATTGCCTATATTTACATCTTGCTGATATATTTCTTCAAGCAACTATTGGGTTGTCAGGAAAGTCATGACGTATTTTTTTCTATGTTTTTCATTGCAAAAATGCGTCGTGACTTTCCAACAACCCAATAGTTCTATAATTTCACACCCCATTCATTGCCTGTAACTGACTCATCGTTTCTCATTACAAACCAGCACACACAACATCGAGATCTGAGGCATTTATCTGGATGACTTAGGCTCTGGAGCTCATTTTATTGAAAAGAGTGGAGGTCTTGAAGTAAGAAGGCCTGTGCATGAGCCCCATCTCTGTTCCTTAATGTCCATTTGATATCTAGCAAGTCACTCAACCTCCATATTATCATTTATACTATTCCAAGATAAAAGTCTTGGAATAGTATTCGGGTTATCAACTGCTTTATAACAAACCGCCTCAAAGCTTAATGACTTAAGATAACCATCTTATTTTGCTCGCAATTTTGTGAGTTAGGAATTCAGGAAGGGCTCAGCTTGGCGGTTTATTTCTGATCCATACAGCATTAAGTAAGATGGTACCTGGGTTTAGAGTATCTACTTCCCAAATGGCTTCTTCACTAACATGGCTTCACCTTGTTACTCCTTGGCCTCTCGGTATCCACATGGCATGTCATTCTCCAGCCCCTCTGCTTATACCTTGGGTCTCTCATAATGTGGTTTCCTGAAGGTAGGCACATTTTTTACATGGCAGCTGGCTTCAAGGAGAAGGAAGCAAAAGATGGTAGGCCAGTTAATGGCTGCATTTGGGACTGGCACAGCCTCACTTCTGCTGTGTTCTGTTGTTTGGAGCAGTCACAGGACTCACCCAGATCCACGGTTGGAAAGATAGACTCCATCTCTCGACAAGGGAATGGTAACGTTACACTGCAGATGAGCATGTGGGATACGCCCATAAATATTGAACTGGCTCTCTCGGAAAAAGTGTATGTACATGTACATGGTCATTAAGTGAATTGTAAATGTCACTAATATAAAGGATGTGTAGCACACAATTAGAAATAAACTATACAGTACTGTTTTTTTGTAGATTCCATGTCCCAGTTGATTCTCATAGAGTGCTTTCATTGATTTTTGCCAGACTCTTAGATCGGCAGCCAACCTACTATTGAGAATAAGGACTTTGCCTTATTTGTCTTTGAGTCTCCTTCAGTGACGTTTTCTGCTTGCACATAATAGACGCTCTATAAATAAAAAAGAAAGACTCGTTAGTCACACAAGCCAAAATTTAATTCATTTTTTGAAAGCCTCACAATAATGACATTTTACTGAATACTTGTAGTGTGCAGTGTGCAAAGCACTTTCAAATATGCTCTTAATTGATTCTCATAACACTGTTGTAAGGAATTCTTACCCCATTTTCCAGATGCGAAAACAGGTTTTGGAGCAAAGTAATCCCCTGAGGGTCACAGTGCTGGCAAGGCGTAGGTGAAGACTAACACCCATGACTTCTGACTCCGAGTAGACTACTTTCCACTTTCTCTACTGAAAGCTTCCATTCAGAGGAGAAATTTAAAATGAGCATAGAGACAAGATTCTCTGCCACAATCCATATTAAAATACCTCCTTTCAAAGAAGACTTTTTTGATAAATGTCGCTGGGCCATTTGTATAGAGCATCTTTGCTATTTCAGCTCTTGGTTCTAGCTACCAAGTTCTACAGTGATTAAAACAATGTGTATCCTCACTGTTGATCGTACTTGTGTGGCAATATGTATAGTCTTATCACGGGGGACTCAGGCCACAAACGTCTATCTCTCTGCTTGCTTCATCTCTTCCAAAAATCAGTAGCAAGAATTTTTGCTACAGTTTGCAGCCACAGGCTCCCCACAGAAACTACAGGGGCTCAGGAATATATTTGAGGAGACGAGGCAATCTGTGACAACAGGGTTTAAATATAACATTGAAAGGGGTGTTGAGAGAAAAGCTTGTATATTGCAGCGTGATAGCTAGTAACGGGAGAAAGCCGGAGAGAGGCCTGAGGGCTTTCCTCTGTCTTTTTCCTTTTCTAATATTAATCATTTTCCCTTCACAAAGTAGATTTTCTTATCTCTCAGTGAAGTGATTCTCTGTGGTTTGTAATGGCATTCTGTGTTTTGGCCGAAGAGTCCATTTCTCAAAGAGATTATGGAGCTGTTTTAATTAGTATTTTTAAATTTACATGAGGAAACTATTCTTTTTAGAAAAATTAGGAACTAAAGGTAAGCACGAAATTGAAACCAAAAACCATCCGTGATCCAGCCACTATTGTTAATAGATAACTCATGTTAACATTTTGATGAGTATCTCAGCTTTTCAACCTGACGGACATAAGCATCTCTTCAAACCCTAGCACTTACGTGACATGGATTATGTGTTCGTTAAATAGTAATAGTAATAGCATTCTATTTGATATTTTCTTTGAGTAACTTTAAGTGGTATGCTAGAATTTTTCATTCTAATTGTCTTTAGTTTCACTATTAAAGAATGAATAACTGCCTTCTCAGTAGCTCTGTGGCAGCTAGTCAGACGTATGTCACTGTGGGTGGTATTAAATGCAGAACTTCAATAGGAAAATGATATTGTTTCCCAGAAAATTTCATGACCTGCACTATCCTTGTGGTCACTGGTGGTGGGGGGCGGGGGAGGAAATCATCAATCAGACAGACCCCAGGAGGAGTTTAGCCAAGGCACCTTCCCACCTTGTCAATGATACTTGAAGGAAATCTATCCTGGTTTTAGTTTGGCTATAGCGTGATACTACATTTATCATACCTTTACCTAGTAGAATTTAGGAACTCCCGTCTCCAAGACGTTTTTTGAAAGAAGTTCCACTTCATTGATGTGGAATATGCCCAGGAAATGTGTGACCTGAATAACAGTTCTGTTTATCTAATTTTTCCTATTTAGGCAGCAATAAGGAAAGAACTAAATGAGTTTAAAAGCACAGAAATGGAAGTTCATGAAGAGAGTCGACAGTTTACAAGGTAGGTACACAAAATGCAGTTGGGCATATTAAAAATGATTGTCTTAGTGTAGAATTAACCCCTGGTGGTTCGCAGAATGTAAAAGAATTTACGAGACTCTACAAGAGTAAGAAAAGATATATTGAAAATCAAAAAGAGAGAGTGTTCTGGCAAAGGGAAGTTTGCCAGGGCAGAGCCCAACAGTGACAGCTGCGAAGACAGAGGGGTAAGGCAGAGGATTGCTGGGGCAGAGTATGATGGAGACAGCTGCGCCGATGAGGAGTGCTGGGGTTTTATATTTTTCCATGTAGGGCGCTTGTCAGCTTGCACGGGGGCTGCCGTTACAATTGTCTTCTCCTGGGACCTGTCCTGTTTCCATCTATGATGGATGCCAGCTTGCAGGGGGTTGCCGTTGCGATTGGGAACTGTTCTGTTCCTACCTGTGATGGATGTAAGGTGCTCGTCAGCGTGCAGGTGGCCTCGGAGCCAAGCGGTTAAGGTTTAACCTCCTTCCTGTTAGGCTATAAGCCCGCTCCTGTTAACTCCTTGCCTGTCCCATCTGCCAACTCACAGCCCTTCTCCTGTTAACTTTTTACTTGTCTCATCAATGATTAAGATGGTAAATTTTATGTTATGTGTATTTTACCACAATTAAAACATTTTTTAGAAATACGGTTTAGAACACACAACAGTATGGTGGTTACCAGGGGGGAAGTGGAGTGGAGGAAGGATAAAGAAGGTGAAGCAAGTCACGTATATGGTGATGGAAGGCGACTAGACTTGGGGTGGTGAGCACACAATGCAATATACAGATGCTGTATTATCACATTGTACACTTATAACTTGTATAATAGTTGTGAACTAATGTCACCCCAATAAATTTAATTTAATAAAATACAGGTTAACCTAACACCATCCAATGAACACTGAATCATTCTAAAGGGTGCTGTTCTGGTTTCTTTCTTAGCTTTAGTTTCTAGGCCAGAAGACAAGTGCCAGCATCATTTATTCTGTTCTTGAAGTGACTCAGTTGAAGTTTTATGCCCAGAACAGATGGTGAGAGCCAGCGTGGGCACCTAAGTGTCTGCTTTGAGCTCACAGTAGTTATAACTTAAGATAGAAACTCAATTTTCAGAAGACAGAACTTAGAATAGGAATCCAATTTTTACTGGTGCCACAGAAGATCGTTATAGTCCTCCCATTTTCCCTCCCAGCGCGGTTTAGTTTCATGGGGCTGCTAAAACGGGAAGAGCCCTGAGTGATTATGTGGCCTGATCCCCGTGCTTCGTAGGTGTTCTGTGTCATTTCTCACGGGTTCGTGTGCTTTGCCTTTATATAACAGGCGTGTTCCTAGAAATTTGCAGGCCAATCATATCTTTTAAAATTGAGTTGTTAAGAAACATACCAGGAGAGAGGATTACATGGTAGCAGGTCTTTCTGGAAAACAAATACTGATCCCATAGGCTGGGAACAGCCGCTGTAAGGCAGCTGTACATCACGGAGCTACTGTTTCAGCCGTGGTTCCTGTTCATGGTGGAGTTCCATACTGGGAGGCATGTCACATGATAAAAGAAGCAGTGGCATAACTTTCTGAGTTCGTAGCAAACCTCATCCCTGAGATGCATGGGGCTTGTGTTGCTCCATGGCTATTGCTCTTATAATAATAATGCCTGGTCTGCACAAGAAACGCCCCTTTCTCCTACGGATAGTTCTTACCGTATTTGCCGGCGTATAAGACGATTTTTTGGCCCTGAAAAATATGCCTCCAAGTGGGGGGTCGTCTTATACGCCAGGTACACTTCAGATAGACTGCCCATAGTGCTTGCCCCGTGCCATAGTGGCCTCCCGATGCCCGCCCACTTCATTCCACATACCGTTCAGGCATCAGCAGCGCTGCTGGGTGTATGCTCGGCTGTTATGCGATTTTGCTGTTATGCGATTTTACCACACTCGCAAAATCGCACACAGCCGACCATACACCCAGTATGATAGCGCAAAATCGCGAATCGCGATACCATACTGGGTGTATGGTCGGAAGAGGGGGTAGTCTTATACGGCGAGTATATAACAAACTCTGTATTTTGAGTGGAAATGTTAGGGGGTCGTCTTATACGCCCAGTCGTCTTATACGCCGGCAAATACGGTAGTTTCCTCCTATATTGTGTTTATTTGTAAATGCATGGAGTACTTTCAGACATCCTAAATGTATAGATTTTTCTTTGTTTGAAGGCTTCATAATCTCTTCTTAGACCCATCATCACATGCCCATATCAGGCCAGACCTATCTGTCCTCTCTTTTTCTCCCTTCCACTTCTGGGGTCAGGAAGAGTCCGTATTACTATCTGATACCTGTGGTCACACTTCTCTAGTAAACTTGATCATAATAAGATGGCTGGATATTTATGGTGACATCGAGCTGTCTGGGACATCCGGGCAGCTGGGAAGATGGTATGTTTTGTGTCATTGAATCCTGACCCCTGAGATGCACTCAACCCAGTGTTTGTCATTCAGGATAGTTTTATTTCTGAATAACTTTCCTAAAAATTATAGTATCTGATTACCTCATTTGATAGCATTATATGAAGAATATATTATAATAAAAATAATCAAAATTTTAAAATGCCTTTTTATGGAAGTCCTCATTTTATGAGAAATAAACATTTATACTAAAAGAGGTTCTTTTCTGTTGTACACTATGAACAAGTAAAAAGAAAATAGGATGCAGGGAGAAGTAAAGATCATTTCTTTTTTATATATGTATTTTTATGTGGACAAATAATATAGTCTAATTAAGCATGCAGACAGTACAAAAATCTATCAAGTGATAATGACAACTTCCTTCACTCCTTTCCCCATCTTCATTCCCATTCTCCCTGGTAACCACTGGTAAAAGTCCGTGTAGATCCTTCTAGACATTCTAGACCAGCGGTTCTCAACCTTCCTAATGCCGCGACCCCTTAATACAGTAACTCATGTTGTGGTGACCCCCAACTATAACATTATTTTCGTTGCTACTCTATAACTGTAATTTTGCTACTGTTATGAATCGTCATGTAAATATCTTTTTGTTTTTCCGATGGTCTTAGGCGACCCCTGTGAAAGGGTCGTTCGACCCCCAAAGGGGTCGCAACCCACAGGTTGAGAACTGCTGTCTAGATATTTATAGACGCATGTGTGTGTGTGTGTGTGTGTGTGTGTGTGTGTGTGTATGTACATATTTGCATTTATGCACACAAAATAGCATCTAGAAAATCTTAACACATTAGTACATGTCTAATTCATTTGAATGACTCTATAGCATTTCATAGATAATATACCATAAGTTATTGAACAATTTTTCTATTGATAGATGTTTACGGAATTTTCAGTTTTTCATTAGTAAAACAATACCACCTTGCCTTTCTTTATAAATGTATCTTTGTGCACTCACAGCAATATTTTTATAGTAGTCCCCTAAGTGGATTTGCGAGCACTACATATATGGTTTTTACATTTTGGAAGATACCATTCTGTGACCTACAGGTTACTAGCATGCCTGGTCTACTCAGCCCCGTTACACATGGGGTGATGTTGGTGGGGAGGCATCTGTATTCTAAAGGATGAATGTTAATATTTTAGTTCTGTAAGGTTAGACATCTTTACATACTTTTGTTGATCATTTATTTTTTATTTGCCTCTACTAATTTTCTTCTGAGTTGTTTGTCCTTTTCATTTGGATTAGTAAAAACTCAGATATTATGAATATCGGCCCTTTGCTGCATGCCACGATACTTTCCTCCAATCTATTTCTAGCATTTTAACTTTTTTAATGGTCTTTTGTTTAAGTATTTGTCTGTATTGCTATTTTTTGCTTCATTGCTTTGTGTCTTGTGGAGGAAGGCAAGATTATAAAAGTATTATCTTTAATTTTATATATGCTTTTTTTTTTTTACACTTAGATCATTCATCCATTGGGCGTTTATTTGTGGGTGTGATTCACGAGAGTAAACTAACTTTACTTTGTTCTAAACCAATAGTCAGTTGTCCCAATGCCACTTATTTCCCTCTTGATGTAAGATTCTTCCTTTAATATACACATGGGTCAGTTTCCAGATTCTTTTTTTTTTTTTAAAGATTTTTATTGGGGAATTGGGAGGAGGGGAATAGCGTTGGGGAATCGAGGAAGGGGAACAGACAGGTAGACAAATTGCTGTTTTTGTTCTTCAATCTAGTTGTGGAGGACGTCGCTTCACTGGCCCATGTTGGTATTGTGATCATTGTGCTCTTCCCGGCTGAGGCAGATCGGTCACCAGCCATTGGTCAGCCACTCACAGCAGCTCCCGGCAGCTCGCGCTGGCTGCCAGCCGCTCACATAGCTCATGGCAGCCACTGCAGCCCCGCTGCAGCCTATGCTGTCGCCGTCGACTCACAGCAGCCCAGCTCCAGGTCAAGCTGTTGTTCACCATCTTAGCTGTAGAGGGCGAGCGTCACTGGCTCTCATATGTGGGATCCGAACCGCCCTGCTGCTCAGAGCTGGTGCCCCCAAGTGAGCTCTTAACCAGCTGAGCCACTCGGCCAGCCCCCAGATTCTTTATTGTGCTCAAACAAGCTATCATCTGTCCTTGCACTTAATACACTGCATAATTAAAATAGGATTGTAGCATATTTTTATATCTGAAAGGCTATTTTCTCACCTTCAAAAGTCTGTTGGCTGTTTTTCTGTATTTACTCATCTATAGAAATTTAAGTATACTTCTTGTGTTCCATAAAGTCTATAGATACTTTCGTTGTTTAAGTAAATATTAATAGACGCAAATAGGGATGAACTGCATTTCAAAAGAAAATTACAGACTTTTTTTCCTGTAACAGCTGATATCTAGGGTAAGCTTTAAAAGTTTTCCAAAAAAATATATTGATTAACACTCTTTAAAATGTCTTTCCAGATATGGAAAAATTAAATATTCATATCACCAAGATAAATATGCCTTGCTTAAGTATTCTTAAAAACTTGGCAGTAAAGCAAATGTCTACTGCTATTTTTCCGTT